CCGGCGGGCGCGGCGCGCGGAGGCGGAGCCGGGCTGGCCGGGGAACCGGCCACGCGGGCAGGCGAACGCCTGCGAAGGGTGCGGACAAGGGGCTCGGCCCGGGTGGAGCCGGCGTGCAGGAGGCGGCAGCGGCAAGCCGGACGGCGCGGGACGCGGAGCCGGCGCGGAGCAGAGGCGACGCGCGCGGGCCGGGATGCGGGCGCGAGCTGGTCTAGGGACGGCTGGTCTGGGGACGTTGGAGGCCGATTTGACCGGATCCGGTGACAGGCGACGACGACGGCGACCTGCATCCTGGGGAGGGAGCGGCGGCGGCCTACATCCTGCGGAGGGAGGCGGCGGCGGCTTGCGTCCTGTGGAGGGAGGCGACGGCTGCGGCCGTGGAGGTAGAGGCGGCGGCCCGCGTCCTGCGTAGGGAGCGTCGGCGGCCATGGAAGGAGCAGTGGCGGAGTCCTGCGTCGTGCGGAGGGAGGGGCGGCAGTGGCCCGTGGAGGGAGCAGCGGCGGGCATGCTAGTCGGCTGCGGAGCCCATGGGGAGGGTCTGGGCTGCATGGGAAAAAAAGTTGAGGGGCTTTTTTGCTTTAAACCCAAACCGTTACGCCATGTAAGCAAAAACAGGGACCCATCTGTCATAAACGCGCTCAAACGACTCTAATCCGCCGATCAGTGGTTTTTGCAAAAAGATTACTAAAGACATGGTGTTTTCTGCAAAAAGAAATATATTGTAGTGGTTTTCGCAAACCTTGCCTTCAATGTGGTGGTTTTGTGCAATTTACTCGAACATGTGTATTTCGAGTAAAATCGTTGACTTGTGATATCCTTTTCCATCACCCATGTAGTAATAAAACTGGTCAGAGGAACAAAATAATACTCCCTCTGTCTCAAAATATTTGTCTTAGATTTGTCTAAATACGGATGTATCAAGTCACGTTTTAGTATTGGATACATCCGTATCTAGATAAATTTAAGACAAGAGTTTTGAAACGGAGGGAATAGATGTTTGGAATATCTAACTTGCTATTCAAGCATTCAAGAAAAACCACTCCGTGTAATTGTGCACAGATAAAAAAACCAAAGTAAACACTGAAACAAAATTAAATCAAAGAAAATCAAGAAGAAGAAAAAAACGGAGAAAAAGAAAACAAAAAACAAAAAGGAAACTGAAAAACACAAGAAAAAACAACGAAAGCAATGTAAAACAGTGGAAAATACTCAAAACAATTTTACGGAACTGAGCCGGCCAAATAATGCCGCCCTGTAGGCGAGACACAGAAGGAGGAGAGCGCTTGATAGAGACACTGATTTTCCCGGTTTGCAGCTCGTGGTTCACCTGTGTCCGCCGTTGACCGGTGGACCATCCACCTTTCAAGAAAAAACTATTTTCCAAATAAATCAGGAAATAAAAAACTCACGAATTCAAAAAAAAAATCATGGTTTCAAAAGAAGTTCATGAGTTCCAATAAGTTCATGGATTTCATTCCCCTCAAAAAAAAGTTCATGGATTTCAAACAAGTCCACAGATCCAAAAATAAGTTCACGGGATTCAAAGAAAATTATCAGATTCGACAAACGTTCATGACCTTGAAAAAGTTCACGGGATTCAAAGAAAATTATCAGATTCGAAAAACATTAATGACCTCGAAAAAGTTCACGAGTTCAGAGGAAGTTCATGGATTTCACAATATGTCCACGGGTCCAAAAAAAAGTTAGCGGGATTCAAAAAGAGTTTGCGGATTTAAAAAAAATATGTATTTTTTTTGCAAATTTCGAAAGAGGTTCATGCATTTGAAGAAAAAGTGAAAAAATTCACGTGTTCCGTGGACTTGAAAAAAGATTCATGATTTTTAGGGGAAAAAGTTCACAAATTTTGGGAAAAAATGTTCTTGGATTTCAAAAGAGTTCACATATTTTAGGAATTTCTTTTGAAAAGTTCACAGTTTTAAGAAAAAAACATTCACAAAAAATACGAATTTGAGAAAAGTTCATGAATTTTCAGAAAGTTTCAAATTTCAAAATTGTGCACACATTTTAAAATGAAAAATAAAAAAGTAAAAATAAAATGAAAAAATAGAAAAGAAAAAACCGATTAAAACCCATCCAGAAAGCCAAAAAAGAAAACATGTCAGAGTCTTCTAGAAGCTTCTGACCAGTTTTGAGAAACTTCTAGAAGGTTCTTATGGGTTTCTAGAAGCTTCACAAAACCGGTTGGGTCTCTTCTGGAAGAAAAAAACAGCATCATTGCCCCATTTCAGGTACGAAGTGTGTTCAGTCTAGAAAGAAAAAAAAGAAATGGGTAGAGCCCAGATGGGTTTACTTTCTGTGGAGGCACAGGTTTGTTTGCGATGTGCTTCTTAGAAATGAAGAAAAAACATGATTTTTTTGCACACAGATTTGCTTTCTCAAGAAATATAGTTGTGCGCGAACCAACCTATGGTTGGATGGTTAGAGGGACTGTGGTATCCTCAGCCCACCAGGGTTCAATCCTGGTGCTCGCATTTATTCTTGGATTTATTTCAGGATTTCCGGCGATGCATTCAGTGGGAAGAGACGTTCCCGTCGATGACGAGGTGCCTACGATGACTTCATAAATTTCAAGATGATATGCCGGCTCAGTCTTTCGGAGGTGCTCATAGGGATAGGGTGTCGTGTATGCGTTCATAGGGGTGAGTGCATGCGTATGTATATGAGCGCTTGTGTCTGTACTGATGTTCAAAAAAAAATATAGTTGCGCATCTTGGAAAAGAAAAAAACATGTTTTTTGTGCTTCTCAAAAAGGTTTTTTTTTCCTTGCTTCCACGAGAAGCACATATTTGCTTCTTGTGGAGACGCTAATTTGCTTATGCGAGAAGCATAGTTGTGTTCTCGAAAAGAGAAAAAATGTGTTTTTTCTTCCGTGAGAAGCACGGATTTGCTTTGCATGGAGGCACAGATTTGCTCCTCTCGAGCTGTTCTTCTCAGAATGAAAAAATAGTGGAAAAATATAATACATCGGGCTTTGGGTTTTTCTCTACCGGTTATCTTGGGTTTTTTGGTGAAAAAAGTCCGTCAAAACATATTAATATAAAATCTAGTTTCAAAGAACTCGACGCGAGAAATACAATGATGAAAATATTTCAGGATTCAAATGCACAGTTCAAGAGATAAAACGTTTTAAATAAACGAATCTAAGAGAAAAAAAGTAAAAAAATCTTAAGTTGTGACAAATGATGCACATGCAGTGCGCTACTTGTCAGCGTCGAGAATGTGAGAGTGCTTTTTGCAAGGGGACATATAGCATTTAGATCGTGCCCAAATCTAGCCACATGGGCCGAGATGGCACGCCCCGACTATAAAAGGGGTCGGCCACGGGGATCGGCCCGACATGCCAGTTGCCCAGCCCGACACCATTCCAAGCCCATGTTACTTTTCGGCCTTATGGGCCGTTTCGGTCAAACAAATTAAGGGAAAAATACATTAAAAACTAGAAAATCAAGAAAAATATAGAAAAACGGGTCACTTAAGTACTACTCCCTCCATTTGAAAATACTTGTCATCAAAATGAATAAAAAAAGATGTATCTTAAACTAAAATACGTCTAGATACATCCCTTTTTATTCATTTTGATGACAAGTATTTCCAAACGGAGGGAGTAGAATTTTATATTTCATTTTTACGAAAAGCTTAAGTACTAGTATAATGGTGCACGGTCTTGTTGAGTTGTGCAGTGCTCTGATGACCGTTCGACACTTTTTTTTCGGAAATGGGACCGTTCGACACTACAATTCATTTGATGTAGCTGATGAATATATGAGCTATTTTCATTAAGTTTAATTCAGAAAAATGGTAGATAAAATATGAATAATCATAGTATAGATGGTAATTGCATCATGTATCAAAGTGATGTAAACAGTCATGCAATTGGAATCATCATATCCATACCCATGACGGCTATGAGGCCAGTTTTCAAGTCAGCTACATTGTCCGTGTTGGAGTACCCGAGTTATTTTCATATTAGACAAAAGGCCAGACAAAATTGTTATCTAACTTGCTATTCAAGCCTTTAACAAAACCACTCCGTGTGATTGTGCAAAACCAGAAGCTGATTAGTGTTGTCGTGATGTTTAAACCCGGTTGAACGTATATCAAACTTCGAAAGCTGTGGACACAGATATAAAATATATTCCAAACTTGACAACACCTTGATTTTGGTCAACGCGGATGAATTACATTCAGAAGAATGTTGACATGAATCTGATATATGCAAAGATATGCCTCTGCCTCGGAGTACGTGCAGACGTACACTACAGCAAATCGGGTGACCTCTACCAAGTGGCACTTCTACATCCTAATTTACCACCTAAGATGATCTTCAGACTATTTTGGGGCTTCTCCATACGTCAGCTTACTCCCTCCATGAAACCGGAGCGCGCCCGCTGGTAGCCGTCCGGTGTTGATCATCTTCAATGAACACTTGCGACAGCAGGTGCTGGGCGAGGTACCGCCCTTCCGGCTCCTCCAGATAAACCTTGTCGTCCAGATAATTCTGCAGGCTGCTGATAGCCTCTGCCTGGACCTTTACGCCTTGTTCTTTCAGAGCTGGTATGAAGCGACGCGATATTACATCTAGGATCTTCATGAACTGCGATCCATATTTCTTGTATAGTGCGAAACCGGCCATCTAGAAAGAATAGTCCTGGTTAGCTACACAGATAGTCAGACACAAAGGACAAAGACTCCTGATGATGATGCAGGTTTCTACCTTGAGGAAAGCATGAAGGGCAAAAGCAGTGGCTGTGATGGCTGGGAGAGTATTGAGGAACATCGCGAGCCATTTCCATCCCTCGGCTAAGCCATGTGGATGCGGCATACCCTTGATTTCTGTCTGTACATAATGTTAGGCGGTCATATTTCTCTTCTATTCCCGCAAAAAAAAAAATCTCTTCTGTTGCAAAAATAACAGTTTGGTTGAAACAGAAGTCTAATAATGTGATGGCATAACATGGTACACAATAATTTGTCAAGGTCCATCATATGCTGTCACTGCACAAACCATGGCAAAACGTAACTTGGGTTTTACATGAGGTGTATATCGCTGCGCTAAAGTTTTAAAAAAAATGGATTGCAATTAACAGGGAAAAAATCTGTTAGGAGGGAAAAGGCAGAAAAAAAATCTCAAATCACACTTAATTGATGTTTTTACCAAACTGGTTATATCTAGACAAGGAAAGTCACACACCTGAATCATGGCAGCATACAGTTTGACGTACGCAACAACATTTACCAAATACGACTCAGTGCTCTGAGATTTTTCATCTTCTTCCTGGTAGCCAATAAGCCTGTAGTAATCCGAGTTTCGTGCTTGTGCCTAAACAATTGCAGAATCATGAGATAATCCAAATACATGGGCCCAAACAATACAGAATAGTACAGATTTTCGAACCATAAATCAGGTGCATTCACAGTCAAAAATCTGTATGTCAAACTGTTTTTGGCCCATTGCCAATTGACGTGGCAGTGTCCACTGTTCGCCTCCGCGCTGACTCTGGTTCAGCCGCACGGACAACACCAGAGCATGGGCAGGCCTAGACTTGCAATTCACCCCCGAGGAGCGCGCATTCTTTTTCGCCTCGACCACCATGGAGGTTGGGAATGGCATGCAGGTCCTCTTCTGAGAAGACCGGTGGATTGGTGGGCGCTCCATCCACGAGATCATACCACTCCTGTACACATGCATCCCCGAGCGGCGCCGCAAGCTCAGAACCGTCGCCAAAGGGCTCCAAGCCAACCGATGGGCGCAGGACATCCATGGCACGGTTGGCATCCATGAAATCGGGCAATACCTGCAGCTTAAGCACATGATCGACCACACGACTCTCTCTGCCGAGCCAGACGCGTGCTGCACCTACTCCGCCAAATCGGCTTACATCGCCACGTTCAATAGCTCCATCATTTGTGACGCATGGAAGCTCACCTGGAGGAACTGGGCACCGCCGCGCGCCCATTCTTTCACTGGCTCGGTCACCTGGACTGATGCTGGACTGCGGACCGCCTTGCCCATCGCAGCCTGCAGCACCCTGGGCGATGCCCCCTCTGTGATCAGGCACCTGAGGCCGTGCACCACCTTCTCCTAGCCTGCCCCTGCGTCCGGCAGATCTGGCACGAAGCTCTGCACTGGCTCAGGATCCCCTGCACCCCGCCCGACAATGAGACGTCGCTCAACGACTGGTAGCAATCGGCACGGCAGCACGCCCCCAAGCCCATGCGCAAGGGCCTCGCCTCGATGACCCTCCTCGTCCCCTGGATGATCTGGAAACACCATAACGACTGCATCTTCAACCGAAGACGCCCATCGGTAAGCAATCTGCTCACGAAGATCAAGGATGAGGCTGCCCTTTGGGCCGGCGTCGGTGCATTAGGGCTTAGAGCCATCACCCCCAAAATGTGGGATGTCCACTGATTCGCTCACGCGCATTGTAACTGCCTCCTAGGAGGATTGTAACCCAAACTCTCTCTTTTCAATGCAATGAAACGCAAGCTCTCCTGCATTTTCTCGGGAAAAAAATCTGAGTATTGAAATGGTGTATCTGTTGGCCACATACTCTAAACACCAAAACATGCCAATTTCTTATTATTATTTGCAGCACCTCAATGTAAGCAAGAAGATAAGAAAACACAACAATGCTGAAAAGTTCAGTAATACGCAGACTTACATTTAAAGCATGCAGATGCTTTGGAACTGTGTACATGCAAACTTTGTGGAACTCGGCTAGAAGATAATCCATTGCATCTGGTACCTGAGCATACACATGTGCCACATGACAAAAAAAAATTGTCTGATTTTCCTTGTAGTTCTTACAAAAATGTGTTAAAAGATGAGTTAAGGATGGAATATGGAACTGATTGCACGCATCTGAACCCATAGAAATAGGAAACGACACATCATGGCAATATGAGGACGCAAAACTGCATTTCAGACAGACAGATTGATAGCATATGTTTATGGCAGGATATCTACAGTGGCCCTGTGTTTATCAGCAGGGGCGGAGACAGGGGGGCGAGCAGGGGCTAGACACCCCCCAACCGTTCGCCCCCCTCAGCAATTTACGTGAGGTACTAGGCTGCAATTGAAGGGGAGCCTTGGCGCAGTGGTAAAGCTGCTGCCTTGTGACCATGAGGTCATGGGTTCAAGTCCTGGAAACAGCCTCTTACAGAAATGTAGGGAAAGGCTGCGTACTATAGACCCAAAGTGGTCGGACCCTTCCCTGGACCCTGCGCAAGCGGGAGCTACATGCACCAGGTTGCCCTTTACTAGGCTGCAATTAGGCCTTGTTGGTTACTGATTAGACTTAACCTGAAGGTCAACCTGGCGCGTAAGCCCAGAGAACTAGCAAACTACATAAGCCCAAGCCCACTACGAGCCTACACTCGTACTCCCTCCGTTTCAAAATAGATGACCCAACTTTGTACTAAGTTTAATACGAAGTTGGGTCATTTATTTTGGAACGGAGGGAGTAACTCTTAAGCCATCGTGGCTTGCAAACTGCCTGCTCTTTTCCACCATAGCGATCTGGCGCTGTCAAACAATCAGTCGATCGTAACTTTGTGCCTCGCTGCTAGGGCTAGCCACCGCTCCCCGTCCGCATGCGCTGTGGACGACCAAACCAGGACACCGCCGTGATTCTGCCGTGGTGCTAGGGCTCATGAACTCTGTTGATTTTGCACTCCCGCCGGCTGTCCGGACAATCAGGTATTTTATCACCATACGTATACCTATTTACTTGATGAAGCACTGAATTTTAAAACCAGATTTGTCTACACAATCTACCACTAGTAGTACCACTATTTAGTTGTTTCCAGAATTACAGTATACAAGGTTAATTTGTACACTATCCTATACAACGATCTACTAATTTACTGATAATTAGTGTGTGTTTATTTTTCTAAAAGAAATATGCATCACATTATTGTTACTGTTGGAAATAAATACCTAAAAAGGTCAACTCGGATGAGATAATCAACTTGCGTCGTGCACGGGGCCTCCGACGGGCCGGCTCGCTCGCTGCCTCAGCAACCACCTGCAGCGAGCGACGTGGCGCACGGGGCTCCTGCACCACCTCCGACCCGCGGTGCCATCATCGAGCCAAGGCGTATGGCTCCACGGCGCGACCTGCAGCGTTCGGCGCCGGCTCGGGATGACGTGAGCTGCCAAGTGGTGCAGCGCCCCCATGGGGAAGCGCGCGTGCTTCCAGCGCCCCAGCACCAGGCTCGCGTGCCGCCGCATGAGGTGGCGGTGCGCGGGCACCAGGACCACGTTCCACCCCCTCGACGACCTCCAGTGACAACGGCAGGATGCCGCGCGTTCACTCCGGAGCTCCGCAACGTCGTCTGGCCAAGCAAGTTCAAGCCCGACCTACCTCCGCGCTACGACGGCACTGCAGACCCCGCCGAGTTCTTGCAGCTCTATGAGCTGAGCATCGAGGCGGCCAACGGCGACGAGAAGATCATGGCAAACTGGTTCCCGATGGCCCTCAAGGATGGCGCGCGTTCTTGGCTCCTGAACCTGACCGAGGGGTCGGTCTCTTCCTGGGAGGAGATGCGCAGCCGCTTCCCTCCGAGTCTCCCGAGGCTCGGCGCCGGAGTGACTCATGAGGAACGGCTTTAGGATCGTTGCATGAGAAGACTGGGCACGGCGTCTGTGCTCGGGTCCGTCCCTGCAACATCGATAAATCCAGCGGCTGAGCTCTGTCTGGCGGGCCGGCCCCGTTCACGTCACCTCCCGGGGTCGTTGGTGTCTGGCCTTCTCATGCAATAACCTCAGGAAACTCATTCGGCGCAGGCTGCCTAACCATCTCGCAGGACCAATTCAAGCACCTCCAATCAAGACCAGGCGCAACCCGCCTTGAGGTAAGGCCTCATGAGTCCCGCGCTGGCTTACGGGTGCCCGTATACACCTCCTGCAGCCCTGACGTGCAAGCCACGTGTCAGGGCGGGGCTGTACACGCCCCGAGGGCTCTCCTCAGAGGGAGCCCCCTCCCACGCACCAGTGGAAGTACCATGCTCCGCGCTGGCCGTCGACACTGCCGAGGAGCGGCTATGCCCCCCTCCCACGCTCCAGTGGAAGTACCAGGCTCCGCGCTGGCCATCGACACTGCCGAGGAGCGGCTATGCCCGTGCAAGAGGGGAAGCACTATGCTCCGCGCTAGTGATAAACAACTTGGGGTGGCCTCACGGCCGCAGTAACCTCAGGGAGTCTCCGGGCTTAGTGACTAGCCTCACCGCGCTGCTCTCCCTCGGGAAGGTAGCGCGAGGGGGCTGGGCACGGGGGCTACGCTCAGGTCACGCCTGGCGTACCCCACCTCGCCAGGCCTCACGGGCCTGGTCTTCGCGCACCCCTCCCAAGCGAGAGCTCGGCGAGGAAAAGGTAGGATGGTCTGTTCATACGTCAAGGGAGACTCCTGAGCATCGCGTCTCAGGAGTCTAACCGGTCACGTAGCCCCTCATCTCTTGGGCTCGTCCTGGTGATCCGGACGACTCAACGACGACTGAGGCATGCGTAGGGCCGGGCCGTGCCGGTGCAGAACGCCAAGGCCTGGCTGTCACCCTTCTTTTTCAAGCCGTTCGCACGTCAAGGGGGACTCCTGAGCATCGCGTCTCAGGAGCTTAACTGGTCACGTAGCCCCTCACCTCTTGGACTCGTCCTGGTGATCCGAACGACTCAACGACGGCTAAGGCATGCGCGGGGCCGGGCCCTGCCGACGCAGAACACCAAGGCTTGCCCCTTCACCTTTTCCTAAGTTGTTCGCATGTCAAGGGGGACTCCTGAGCATCGCATCTCAGGAGCCTAACTGGTCACGTAGCCCCTCACCCCTTGGGCTCGTCTTGGTGATCCGGACGACCCAACGGCGGCTGAGGTATGCGCGGGGCCGGGCTCTGCCAACGTAGAACAACGAAGCAAACGGAAAAGTTGAAGCAGCATAATCTAGTTATTACAAGACATATTGTCCCAAGCAAATAGTTTTAAACGCCTCCCCCGGGCATGTTGCATGATACAGGACAAACAAGGAAAAGCATAATCGCCCGGCCACCTCTTCAGACTTGGGCATCACCACCGCCCGCCAGCAGAGCCTCATCGCCAGGCGCGTCGCCATTCCACCGGCTTCAGTCGGAGGGCCAACGACCAGGAACTTGCTCAGCATGGCGTCCACGAAGCTCTTCACGACGGCAGCAGCAGCACCCTGGGAGTCGGAGTCCACCGGAGCAAGGAGGAGAGGTCGAAGTTGGCGTCCCGGAGATAAAGATGGCTGAAGACGCACGTCAGAGCCAAGGAAGAAAGTGAGCGCGCCTCGCTTTCCACCAAGGAGGCAAACCCGTCGACAGCATCTTCGAGCACCGCCACGACTTCAGGAAGCAGAGCAGCAGGGCTCTCTTTCGGGGTCGTCACCACCGCCTTCTTCGAGGGATCATCTCCAAAGAGCGCCTTCTGGGCCTTGTGGAAACACGCCTCGAGGGAGATAAGAGTGCTGCACTCCATGGCGGCCACCTTCTTGGCCTCGGCGAGGGCCGCTTGGGCTGCCTTCGCCGCCTCCTTCAGCTTCGTCAGGCGGTCGCGCTCCCCAGCCTGCTCTAAGGCCGCCTTCTTCAACTCAGCGTCTCGGTCGGCGACGGCAGCTTCCTGGGCCTTCAGCTTCTCCTCACGCTGCTGGAGCTGGCTGGCCTAGGCGGCCTGCCAGTCCTGGAGAATCTTCAGATCAGCCTCGGCCGCGCGGCACCGATCCTCAGCTTCTGTGGCCTCCTGCCGCGCCAGGTCGCGCGCCGTGGCGGCCACCCCAAGCGCCTTCTAGGCTTCCTCCGCAGAACCCCAGGCCGTGCGAACAGACGCATCAGCCTTGAGCCAACCAGAGATCAGCCCCAGGCATCCCTGCGACGAACGATGATCCGAGCCCTGAAGCTCACCCTAGAGGAGGTCCAGCGTCGCCCTTGCCTCTTCCAGGGTCCCGGAGGGAGCAGGAGCACCATGACTCAACCACGCACTGGGCAAGGGAGGAAACGCCCTCGGCGCCAAGGCAGAAGAAACCTCAGCCTCAGGAAGGACTGGGGGCTCCGGACGCTGGTTGGCCTCGGCAGTCGTGGCCAGGCTGGGCGCCGGAGGAGTCAGGCCTGCTGGGGGCACCGGCACCTCCTGAGGGCGGGCGTTCACGTCCTCCGGGGACGGCGTCACCTCCGGAGCCACGGGGGCAGTGGCACTCTCCTTCACCAGGGTCGCAACAGCCTCTTCAGCGTCTGCGGCCATGGCACCCTCCGGGCCCTCTTTCTGCTTCTTCGACGACTGCTGCCTAACGACTGGCGAAGATGCTAAGTAGCGCTCCAAGGATCAACAAACAAGATTAAGGAAAAAACTTACTGGCCCGCGAAGGCATAGCTCCTCTTCATGCTCAGCAGCGGGCGCTGGGGTGGAGCAGTTGGCGCAAAGCTTTTGGGAGCGGGAGAGCTTGCGGTTGGTGCTGCTCGGGACGTCGTCGGCGAAGGTGGAGCACCGCCCGGAGGAATCAGCGCAGTCCTGCCCTTCTTCGTGGCCACTTGCTTGGGCTGTTTCGAAGAGGACACCCCAGATCTCGTGGTAACTCCGGTAGGGTGCGACACCTCCACCACCGAAGGTTCATCGTCATCGTTGTCAGGGAAGTCGCCGAGGAGCTCCCTTTGCTGCGGGGCGGAGGATTCCTCCACCATCTCGTCCGCGGTGGCCTCGAAGGAGCGATCATCGGAGGACAAGTGCACTAAGGCAGTAGGCTGCGGAGGAGGCCCTGGCCGCGCAAGCCCAAACTCGTCGAAGACCGGCATGGCCGCGACGACCTCCTCGACGTCATCCTTCCTCGTCAGGTAGAGCAGCACCTTGCTCATCTCCTCCTTGGGAAGGGCGTCTCGGCGCAGGCAAATTTCGTCGTCATCCCCACCAAGCTTCCACAGGGGGCGGGAGTGGTCCTGGAGCGGCGCAATACGCTGCCTCAGGAACTCCTTGATGAACATGGCCCCCATCAGCTTCTGGCTCTTCAGGTCCTTCTCCATCTTCTTCACAAACTTCGTCAGGAAAGGGTCGGTGATCTTCTCAGAGCGCCACACCTTATCGGAGACGGGGAACGCGGTCGGCAGCTTCAGTGAGCTCTGGGAGCACTTGGCATCCATCAAGACTCACTTCTTCACGGCATCCTCCACCTTCCCGGCATGGGAGATTGCGTTACCACCCCGCGCCGTGACGAAGCCAATGCACCCAACTGGGTTGTCGCCGGTCATGCGGAGGTAGAAGAAGTGGCGAAGCAGGTCGACGGAGGGCATCACCCCCACGAATGCCTCACAGTAGAATGCGAAGATGGACATGAGGAGGATGGAGTTGGCATGGATGTGGAGCGCGTGGAGGCCATAGTGGTGAAGGACAGCGAAGAAGAAGCGGGAGAATGGGGCACCAGGCCCGAGTAGACGTTGTGCATAAAGAAGGGGAAGAAAGTGCTGCCCGCGGGCTCCGGTGCGGCGGTAGTGACCCGGAGCGCCGTCTCCTTCCACTCGTTGTCGCTCGCCGTCAGGAGGAGCGTGCTCTAGAGCTTATCCCCAGCGACGCAGGGCGGCAGCAACAACGGCTCGTACCAGGCGGAGCGGCAGCCGAGGCGGGGGTTGTGGTTTTCTCAGCGGCCATTGAGCAGGAGATTTGGGGGAGAATCGACAGATCTGGTGAGTTCTTCCGCCGAGGAGAAGGAGATCTGGAGCAAGACGAAGAAGGAGCAATGAAAGCCTGGCGGTAGGCAGCACCCCTTTTGTCAGACAGGAGCGGTTGCCGAGGCAGCGTGGGGAAACAGAGTCGCCCACGTCCAATCAATCGCCACGCGTCATCAAGGCCGCAAGCTGATAGGGCCCGCCGCGCTCCACCCTTGCCCTTTGGTTTCGCCTGGAAGCCAAGTCCGAGCGTGCCTTGGGCCCGGGGGCTACTGTCGGCGTCCTGGATATGGGGGTATCCAGCCCTGCTTGCCTGCAGCCCACCACGTGGCTCCATCGACGGCCTGGTACGGCCCGGCATCAACACCAACACCACAAGACCCTCGCAAGGGGCCAAGCCTCACGAGGCGGACGACGCCAAGACCCCCGAAGGAAGCAGCCTCCTCAGGAGGGCTCTTGAGGGGCAAAGAGTTCTATGCAAGCTACCTCATGAGGCTCAGCTGACGTGAGCCATGACGACCAAGGCCAGGCGGGCGCCAGACGGATGCAGAGCGCAGGTTTCCTCTTCGGTGCAAAGGAGGCAAGCCACAGGCGCAAAGTCCCAAGGAATCAGCCAAAGGTTTCCACTCCGGTGCAACAAGACCAAGACCGTCAGGACGGCAGGATGGAGGTCATCGACGAGCCCACCGCAGCGTCACGACCAGAGGCTTTTCGCAGGCCAAGACTATTTTTGTCAGGATAGACTGTACTACTTGTCCCCTTTCAAATCCCGTCGTTGTGGGATCCCTTCCCGCTCATATTTGGGAAGAGGACTAAGGCCACTACAAATAGGACTAGCCACCACCATAGGAGGGGACCGAAATCAGAACAAGGAGAGCACCACCTATGTTTTTAAGGCGACGCTTCGCTTTAAGGCGCTGGGGGTGCGCCTCGACGCCTAGGTGACGCCTAGGCGCCTAAAGAGGGCATATTTGCAAAGCACTGGGGGAGCGCCTCGACGCCTAGGCGTCGCCTTACAGACGCCTTAAAAACATAGAGCACCACACTAGCTCAATAACACCTCTCCTCCGGAGGCTTGTTCATCCACTGTACTTGCTCATCCATAGCCCTTCGAGGCAATCCACCACACCACATTGGATTAGGGCGTTACACCACAACGGTGGCCCGAACCAGTATAAATCTCTGTGTCTTTGTGTCTCTTTGAGCTCGACGCGTTAGGCCTAGGAGGATCGCGAGTAGGCAGGCCGGGCAGGTTGAGATCTCCGCACGCACCCCAAAGTTCGAACCTCTCAAGGGTTGCCGAACCCCAAAATCCGACAATGGTCATCATAGAGATTAAGTGAAAATAAATGTATTATTATTGCCAAAGCATATGCTTGGTTATCAATACGCTATCTATACCAAGACCTAGTATATTGTAACGTGTGATGTCTTCGCCCCCCTCAAATCTAAATCCTGGCTCCGCCCCTGTTTATCAGCACCAAGTGGCACTTCTATATCTGAGCTACTCAGGCCTTGTACAATGCAAGGTGCTTAAGAGAGGTCCTTGGAGAAATAAAACAGGTTTTCCTTAAGCACCGGTGCTTATTTGTACAGGGCAGACGCTTAATCAGGCGTCTCTCCTGTATAAACACTAGTGCTTCAGAAAAACCTGGTTTATTTTTTCTAAGCATCTCCATAAGCACCTAGCATTGTACAAGGCCTCATAGAGACCATTTAAGTTTAGCATAAATTATATAAAAATATTTTTTGTCAGACATCAGTTCCCCAGAGTTCAAGCTGATATGTCATGTAAGCAAACTATATTTTCGCTGCGGCTATTTTAAGTAATCACAAGTTCACAGTAAGTACCGGTAAACAAGACTGCAGGATGTCCACATGTGCCCTCCAGGATGTCAAAGATATGTTATGTCTACCAGAGAAAGCTAACAGAATTCTCAACTTTATTAACTACTCCCTTGGTCTCAAAATAAGTGTCTTAACTTTAGTACAACTAAGTTGTACTAAAGTTCTTAACTTTAGTACAACTAAGTTGTACTAAAGTTAAGACACTTATGTTGGGAGGGAAGGAGTATATAGTAATTTTAGCTGTTACATATTGAATTAACACCAACAAATTACAAATTGTAGGGATCAATTTACTCAGTAGTACCTAATGCGTAATAACACTCTATAAAAAACATAAAAACATACTATACCTGATTAGTGACTAGTAGCATTACATAGCCACAAGCAAAGGCTAACGGTCCAAAGGTTTTGTCCTTTGTATTTCGAGTCTTGACTATTGAAATCATCTGCAAAGCAATATCACACAAATTAAGTAGAAGTTCAATATGTATGAAAATGTATCAAGTATAAGTTTTTTTCTTTTGAGGGAATGTATTAAGTAGAAGTTCAATATGTGAGAAAATGAATAACAGTGTATAGGAATCTAAAATCTAGTAGAAGGCCAGAAAAAATCTTAATCAGGAATGCCAGAACACCCTTAAGATCATATTAGCAATTACTCCCTCCGTTCCTAAATATTTGTCTTTCTAGATATTTCAATAAGTGACTACATACGGAGCAAAATAAGTGAATCTACACTCTAAAATATGTCTACATACATCCGTATGTAGTAGCCATTTGAAATGTCTAGAAAGACAAATATTTAGGAACGGAGGGAGTAGATAGCACGTATTCTTGGTAGTAAAATATCTTTTAAATTTAAACTAAATGAATGTCATTAACTCATTATCCTCACTTGCTCAGTTACTCGTATAAATATGTAGGCCCATACTATTCAAAATGAAAAGAAACGCAAAGCTTTTGCGTTTTCTCGGAAAAAAAAACTATTCAAAATGCTCTTTATATCCCACGTGTGTCATAAGCGATACCACAGAGCATGTAATAATACTAGAAGATACATTGTTGAGTTAAAGGAATTCATCCCCATTCATAACTCCATGTTTCCTACACAAAACTTGCACGATTGTGGTCTTCCTTTTTTGCGAATAATTCATGATTGTGGTTTCAAATACACAATTTTGTAAAGTAAGAAAATGCATACAATTTCATCAGTAGTTAAGGCACCATCATTACAGCATAAGTAGGGTAGCAGGGGAGGGGGGAAAGAAATTAGGTAAACACTAGGTTACTAATTGATTGCTTGATCATAGATGTATACGCACCCCTGACTATATAGGGAAGCTTGCTTAGTTCTCAAGCAACCTAATTGAAAGGATACTAATCTGTAACCCTAACTTTGCCAATATATATTTTCTATTAAAATAATCTGGCCATGCATATAACATATGAAGTTAACTGCATGATTCAAAGAAGAAGAAGGCGCCATTTCAGGCTAGAAAATTTGAGAATTTATCCATGAGATATTGAAAAGTTAATTATGTGAAAATAGAAGAGCATAGTTGTCACAAATAAAGCAGGTGGTTTCTGAAATGAGACTGTTTGGTTTTTTTATTTTGTGCAATTTTTCTTGAGATTTTCATATTCAAATGATTGAACCATAGGTACTAATATGCAATTAAGGGGCTGAAGCAGATAATAAGCCTAGGAAACCTGTACTGATACGTTCAGGATTACCAGCCAGCAACCCACTATTTTCCAAACCCTGCACAGCATGGTAGCATTCTGGGGTGGGGGTGCTCTGAAATATAACAGATGAAGTACCGCTATATCTTTCCTAAGATTCTTTTTTATCTGTCTAGTAATTTGATCAGTGTGCACATCAGCTAACGTTCCACCTGGGAGGAATAGCTACATAGTTTAAGGACTAAAACGGATGTCAGTATGCTTGGTTTTTACATTAAAAAGGGGTAGATTTCCACAATTACTAGTTCCAATCATACATGGGTGCTTAACTCTGTTCAGAACAAAAAATAGCAGCCACGAGAAAACATACCATCTAGACCCTTGATCTAGACTGTAAGTACAACAAATCAAGTAGTAATACCATGTTTCTCCCCAAAATAAAAGGCACCACCACCATCGCACCAGCCAAAGTACATACGAGAAAAATAGGAGTTGCTAATGGTCGTGATTAATAAAGGTGTAAAAGATTTGATTTATGTTTGTAACTCTACTATACTTATTAACTCATATAGAACTAATCCAGTCAATAGCCATGCAATGCATGATCATGCTATAGGCCCCTGGATTTGTTTGATATGCCAGACATATATCATGATGTTCTTCTAAAAAGAAAATGGAGCAGATAAAAGTAACTACCTTGTCTGCAAATAAACGACAAGCGATAAGATGAGGACAATCTTGTCCATCTAAAGCTTTAATAAGCTCACTAGCCCTGGCTCTGCAAGGAACAATAAGTAAGGATTCAAGGTAAATAAGAGCTCAGATGAAATATTGACCTAAACAACTAGTATGGACAAAAAGGTAACTAGCTAGTACTCCCTCTGTCCCACAATATAAGAACGTTTTTAAAGCTATGTTAGCTTAAAAAATGTTCTTATATTATGGGACGGAGGGAGTATTTGTGTTTATCGTGCATAAGCATAACCAATTGAGAAAAAGAAGATAAGTGAATGATAAATCAGAACTAACAATCTTGTAGGTGTGCTCCTAAAATTGATAGCACCAGATGCTTAGAAGCATGCATCCACAACTTGAGTAATTGAATGGTGCAAGCAAATGGAGCATGCAGGATAAACATGAACTTGAACTGCTACTAGAGCAATGTTATTCTTACGTAATACTTCTACAAAATCTTACGCACTAGTACAATCCGATGGCTGTTATTCTCACGTTCAGTTCCAGGTTGTTATTATCTCCCTCACAGTACATAATTTGTAGAAGTACTACGTAGGATAGGATTTATTTGATCACTAGGTCAGTCCGGTGGCATGTTGATTGCATCATGGTTCCTTATGTAGTCATACAAAACAGCTTCTGCCGGTTGAATCGAATGTGTTTGTTCAGCTTATAGTACACCTTCCTTCTTTACTGAACCTATGGATGTGTAACCTGTTTCCTATTTCCCAAACCATATGGAATCACTACAATATAGATAATCTTTCAAATGAATAGAACAAGATTCAGTCACTCAATTTTCTATAGATAGCAATCCTTTCACTTTTGGCGAGAGCACTGAATCACATCTGTTGTGGCATTTATTTAACCATTGTGATGATTTATACAGGAGGGAGTTCTACCCCTTGATTTAACTAAAGTATATGAATAAGTAAATATCTGCTGCATTTGATATTTTCTGTCACCCAACAACAGAAATGAGTGTTTTTCTTGAAGAAACAAGTTCTTGCTATTAGCCATTACTGAGCCAGAATGTAGCCAAAATAGCATTATGGCTTGCATATTATTAGTCTGAGACAGCTGTTACCACTATTTCAATCCAAAGTGATACGAAAATATTTGTGAAAGACTACACCTACTTCATTAGCTATAATGGCAAAAGGGTGCACGTAACACAAGATTATGAATCCACAATCTCTACCAGGTTTATCTTAACACTTAGCAACCTATGCACAATGATTAGGATGAGGGAACTATATGCAACAACCGCAAAGCACTGGAAATAACTTTAACCTTGATGCCTTATGGCATATATTATGGTTGTCATTTCTTAAGAAAGATATGGCATCGATGTGGATGGTTCTTCAACTTTGCAATAACCCTTACCAAATTAGCTCAAAGTTACCACAATAGTAGCTTTCTTGTATTTTACAGGAACTTATCTGAACTGAGCTCTAGGATTTAAGAAGTATTGTAATGTTAGTTGTATACTCACTTGACACTGTCAGTAGTTGGTGTAAGTTTACCAATTGACTTCCCAATTTGTCGGCTATATTGGCTATACTCCTGCACAATATAACATGGTATCAGTCAAATACAGCCATACAGGTAAACAGCATGCTACATACAAGTCAGGGGCTAACATTTGGCAGTAAAATCGAAATTGGGAAAGGGTTGACAGATATGAATTATCATATCAACGATTTGCAGCAAGTTGTTCAAAAATGCAATTGAAGACCGAGATCTTTCAGAGAAAAGTAAGACCTTGCTTAGGTGAATATTTGAAGGCACTTGATCATGTAATGCGCGCCTCCGCGATTCCGCTTCTAATGCGATACTATCAGCAAAAACTTTGATTCCTGGTATTAATGAGACAATTAATTAATTTACCGCCACCCCTATAAATCAAGCTACAACAGATAGAAAAAACTTGAACAAGCAAGAACACCTCAGCCCAAGTTTATATTAAAAACAGGAGCAATAACAATGTTGTACCTCCATCTCAAAATATAAGACGTTTTTTAAGGCTAGTTTAGCCTACAAGAACATCTTATATTTCGAGACGGGTGTAGTAGTTGGGAACCAACAACTCATATAGATAGCAATAGCAATACTTGATACAAACATGAAATTTTTGATGAATAATGAAGGTGAAATACCAAAGTTCTATTTCCCTGTGTGTGCTTAAAGTGCACAATATGTGTTTCATCATGCAAGCACTGCACAATCCTTGGCATGGTTCCTAGAATCCAATGCACAGAATTTAAAGAGTAAATAATGCCTGCAGTAAAACAACTTGGCTTGCTGGAGCACTTTAGACTCCAACATCCCACAAAACGCTCATCTGGCAGCCTGTACTTGGCTTGAGGGAGCGCACACGGCACGCCATATCACTATCACTTCCTTCCTTGAATATGTCAATCAATTGGATACAGGGAAGCGATTATGAGGATTCCAAAGTTCCAGGGGGGCTGCAAAACATATGGAGGCCAGGAGCCGCGTGGGCTCATCATGATCAGCGCACGTGAGACTGCCCGCGCACTTTCCACGTGGGAAGGCCACGTCGGTAGTAATACAGCATCATGGCATAGTTTGGGCCATAAGTGCCCCCAGAAGCCAAGTTTAGGGTACTGAACGAGCATTTTGCAAGCTATTGTACTGCTCCCGTCACCTCCTCGAAATTTAACAATACAAGCTGGCCCATTGGCAATTTCTGAAGAATATAAGAAATAGCTTCTGCAAAAATGTATATCTCCACCCAGGTTGCGAAATAATTTGAAAAACGCATGGATGTTATTGAACATGGTAGTATATGTATACTTGCAAAATTTGGTGAAAATATGACTCCATCCACAAAACACATAATAGATAAATTTTGCATCTTTGGATAGCATACTAACTACTCAACCTTGTACTAGTTTGTTAATTTTGTATCAGATTGCAAGTGTACATGCTATGTCCAGATGAACATTCATGAAAAAAATCAACATATTTCGCAACTTTTGAAATGGACGAACGGGAGAGACATTGGGTGTAATTGATCCGGTTTGAGAAAATCCGCTTTAATAACTTGTGCCAGCACTCTTGAAGTATAGAAAACGACATAAAATTGTCGAGTTAGAGAACGTGCAAACAAGCATTTGCACAGCTTTTCATTAAGAGGATGAAAAACATAGGTACAGGAGTTTAGAGGTAGCTTTAAAAGTATTGCAAGTCAGTTCTATAGAAGTCAAACACACCTGGTAATTCTGATTTGACTCCAATGCTGTTCACCGTTGTTGCATGCAAAACACTGTTCTGAGAAAAAATAGAATAAGAAAAAATGAAGAAAAAATGTTTCCTGAAATAACAATTGCTAGTACAAAAAATCTGAGAAAAAATAGAATAAGAAAAGGGAGGAAAGAAGTAACAACCAACAAAATATTAGATGCAACAAAACCTGATGAAACTCAACAGTCTACTTTGATCGATACAAAACAACACACCAAATGTTACAGAAATGGATTAAGGCCCCAAATACCACAAATTGTATAGAAACAGATTAAGTGAACAACAAATTCGAGCAAACAAACCTCTGCTTCTTTTCTAGTCCTTTCCTGATTTACTTTTTCTTCCTTCATAGATTGATCCTTTTTTTTAGCTTCTTCAACAGCTGCATCATCTCTTATTCTACGTTCCACAATCTGGGATTTCTGTTCATGATCCCTTTGTACCAAAGACAAGTGTTTATCAAGTACTTCTGCACTACAAGAAGCAATAAGGTAACATGATACTGAGTATAACAAAACAGTGTTATAGGCTAAAAGTTTTACAAAACTGTGCAACATATATCATGTGAATCAGAAGATAATCTACCCACAATCTCTACCAAACAACGTTTCTGAAAAAAATGGAACTCTGAAGAATGAATTGGAATGTTAGGCTTTAAATGGTACAGTTGTCAGATATTGTAATGACAATGCGCAGAGTTACAAAATTAATAAACAATTAATCATATAACAGATATAACAGAATCTACTCCTAAAACAAGAAGGCAAATGGAATTTTGAAGGAGACACTTGTTACGAAAAAGACATTATCATATCAAAGCCCCAATAGAAGATCCCTTAGGATGCTAAGATGGATATATGGTACCAAAGCGGACAGATCACACGACCAAATATTGTTTTCAACATTTAACTAAACTCGCACTTACAAGCATACTAGCATAGAGTATACCGATAAATTATATGCATGCCACAGCTAAACCAGTAAGCAAGAAAAGGCAAACCCATTACAAACTAGTGCAGTTCGCATTTGAATGCTGAAACCTAAAACTTCAATTATTATTTTACTCCTAAGTAGCAAACTTCAACAAATTATGATCAGGGATGTTGTATATGGTGGAAGAATCACTAAACATAGTACTCCCTCCGTCCCGAATTACTTGTCGCAGAAACGGATAAAAATGGATGTATCTGGAACTAAAATATGTCTAGATACATCCATTTCCGCGCCAAGTAATTCCGGACGAAGGGAGTATTAGACTAATAGAGTAGCGGCAGACTGGCATTAGTCATCAGTCATCCGATCAATCTAACGGAGATGTGTCTAGTAGTTGTAGTAGTTGTGCATAAGAAGTTGCCAGTGTCTGAGAGGCAGCACAACACACAACCATTCGCCCCAGCCGCCATACCCATCAAGAGAACCACGGGTATGTCTCTCCCGCGACACAACAGTTATCATGAATTAATATTGGACTAGTATGAGACTCTCTTTGTATCTTTAAGTGATTCAATGAAATATAAATTTCTCTGAAATTTCTAAAAATATCGCAGTATAGTTTTAGAAGCATTACAAATAAATAAGTTAGTACATACATTTTTCTGTGGAACTGGACATCCAGCCTTCTATCTACCTCTTTTCGTGATTCTGCATATTTCTGAAGTCGGGCAAATGCAGAAACTGTTCTCTGGATTTCATTTTGATGGCATACCTCCAATGAAGATAGCTTACTTCTAACTTCCTCCTGAAGATCAAACATCATGAGTGAAGAAAACAAAAAACTAAAAGTACTCCGTATCAATTAAGGCTGTATACACTGTGGCCAAAGCAAGCCAATGACACCATTAAATAATTAAATTCAACAAATTGCATGATGAGTATTGTTTGATCCACAAAGGAAATTGTCATCGCAGATATACATGTCTAGTACAATGATATTTTTTTACTTTCTGTCCTATTATCACATTAAATGAGTTGTAGCTTAAGAAACGGCAGTATTGTTAAAATCCTGGAGGAACCCATACTCCACAAATCAGCTATAAATCCAAGATGCAAAAAAAAAATACACAAACGAAAAGCCGATAAGTGTATGGAGAATAAATGAGTCCCGGGATGCAATAATAAGAAATTTGGTTCTTTGGGGTCCCCATTATTTCGCTTCATGGGTCGTAATATTCATTGTGCAAAAAATTTGTGTATTTGAAAATTTCAACATCAAGTTGCCAACTAACGAAAGTAACTTTCTTTTCTTTTAGTACCATATATGCAAATTATGTTCAAAATCTTGAGGTGTGTTCTATCAATATCAGTATGGCATGTCTAGTAAGCATAAAATCAACCAGTAAGCTCCATCTAGATATTGAGACTGTAAGCCAGACAAGAAGATAGTGCGCAATATCCACATGCCCGGAGCACTTAAAAGGTCGTCGTGATGCACAATCCTTTACAGGAAAAGACAGTGAACGCGGTATAACTAATAGTCTAATAGTTACTCTAAATTGCAATGAGTGCAAATGGCAAAAATTAATGGTTTATTACTGATACATCAAAGGAAAATCATTAAACCATCACTAGCATACTGTGCTTATTAAAGAGGAACAACAAAGTAGTACACACTTGAATTTTCAGATGATGCTCAAGTTCCAGCTCAAGCAGAATGCTCTTCTCTAGGCTCCTTTTCTCCATCAGGTGATATGGTGTACTGCTGCAATTTATTTCATCTCCAGAATCTTCAAATCTGCTAGGAATAAATAAATGGTATAACTTAGCATCAGTATGTAGTTAATGAACTGTGATGTGTCCCCACAAAAAATAAACGAAATCGGATGTGGTTATTTTTTAAGCTGTTACAAAAAACAAATCATGAATTGGGCTGACTGATGGTTGTCCTCTCACATTTCATCTTATGTGTTCCGCAATGAAAAGCTATTAACTGATTAAAAGATAAGCAGGTAGCGGAACACTCAATTTCCAAAAGCAGTTCAATGCGACGAGGGTACCATAATCCAATCCACCCCAATGTCAAACGGAGCCTTAAAAAATTGACATGCCTAAACTCATAAAGCAGACTTCTACAGTTCTGCAGAGAAACAGGAATGCAGTAGGCACAGTTAATGGCTTGATGGTATCGCTATCCTTTGCAGATTGTCCCTAGGACCAAAGGCTATCTTCCTTACAAGCATACAGCTAGGATGGCACTCAAAATTCCAAATGTCTTCCTTTTTCGTTGAGGTAACGCTTATGAACTGTCAAATGATCCAATTCAGGTGATATTGACAAACTACATTGTGTTAATTTCACAAGAAAAATGCAACTGACTGCAGGAACCAAATTGCAGTACCAAACTCTCACCCGGATTCGAGATCATTGCATGAGAACCTTGCCCCGGTGGTCGCAAGAGCCCCGGCATCCTCATCACTGGTATCGTCTTCCTCTTCCGAGTGGTCTTCCTCCTCAACCCGCATCACAAAGGCCTTCTCCCTCATGTTGCCACCGCTAGCCCTAACAATAAATAAATAAAAACAAAAAAACAAGTACAGTCAAATATGCATCCGCAAATCAACCAAGCGTAAACTGCGAGAGTGACGCGAGATACCACTCCGGCGGCTGCTTGAGGGGCGTGGGCGGCGCGGAGCGGCGGGTGGCTTCGAGTGCGTCGGTGAGGACATCGCCCAGCGTCCAGCTTGGGCGGGGGTCGAGCGCCCTGGGGTACCGCAGCTCCAGGCCCGCGAATGCCCTGCAAGGAGGGGCGGCAGGGATGAGGGTCAGTCCCGAGAAACACTAGCCAGATGGACGCAAGAGTGGGTGCGGAAAACGGGGATGCGGGGATTACATGGTCGCGGTCGTCGCCGGCGAGACGGGCGCTCCGCCTCTAAGGCCGGCGTCGTCTTCCTCGCGCGGAGCTGCCGGCGCTGGCTTCCTCGCGTGGGATGGTCAGGCCAGGCGGCCGCCGCGCGCCGCTGCAGAAGCGAGAGCGCGGGACAAACGGGAGGTCGGAGGAGAGAGGGAGAGGGATGAGACAGATGAGGGAGGAGCTACCTGGGTCGCCGCCGCCACCGCCGTCGTCGACTCGTCGCCCTAGGTCCGGCCCGCCGCCGCCGCCGCCTACACGGTCTGAAAATTTCGTGCAGAACTGTGCGCTCGCTGTGCCCCGCGTCGTGTGTGTTTCGCGTCGGTGTGTTCTTTCGTCGGCCCGTTTCGCGTCCGGCTTGTGGTGTTTGTCCTGTTTATTATATGGGCCTCTGTTTTGGTTATGTGGGCTGCGTTTTGGATTTCATCGATGATGAAGTGTGTACGAACAAACTGTTTCATTTTCAGTTCTTTTTAATTTACAGGCGACCAGCTTGAGGATTTTAAACCCACCCATGGAATGCGTCAAAGAAATCCCATTCCGCCATATCTATTTTTACTTGCAGCAGAAGGATTGTCATCATTGTTGGAGTTGAAAGGAAATAATATAGTTCTTTTCTTCAAAAACCTCGTGTGAGGGCAGGGGGGCCTGCATTTCATTAAGAAGTGAGTTGGTCCAGTTTACAAGAAAAACCGGACCCAAAAACCTAACATTCTCAAATGAAAACAAAAAAAAGATAAAAAAGAAAGAAAAAGGAAACAAGAAAAATTAGGCACCGGGACTTGGGATAGGGACAAGACAAATGCTAGGTTGTTAGCCATTTGCTTTTTGTCAACGACAATCTTTTGTTCATGAAGGCTAGTACATCTGCAGCTCATGAGGTGATGCAGATGTTGGATCTTTATTGCAAAGCTTCAGAGCAAGCATAGACCTTGACAAATCCCCTCTGTATATTTCAGCAAGGGAGTACCGAATGAATTGAAGAAGGCATTCAAGCTTACTCTTAACGTATAATCTAAAACTCTAAATGAGAAGTATTTGGGCATGCCCACTGATGTTAGGAAATCAACCAATGGCGTTTTTCAGTATTTGAAAGACAGAGTGTGGAAGAGGGTACAAGGATGGATTGAGATGATCGTATCAATGGCTGGGAAGGTAGTTCTGATAAAGCCAGTTGCACAAACATTACCCACTCACTCAAAGGGGTGTTTCAAATAACCCCGAGACTTTGTGAGCGTATTGATAAATTGTGAAGGCAATTTTGGTGGGGTGCAAAAGGGGGCAAAAGGAAGATAGTGTGGGTATCTTGGAATGATATGACACAACCGAAGTATAGGTGTGGGGGGGGGGAGAATGTGGACTTCAAAACGATGGAACTATTTAATTTGTCCTTGCTAGCTAAGCAAGGGTGTAGATTGATTCAGAATCTTTCAGGTCTTAATGGCCAAATTTTGAAGGCAATGTACTATCTCAATGATGATTTTTTTAACTACTCAACTAGGGGTGAGGCCATTAAAAAAATTTGAGGTCAATTCTGGAGGGTAGAGAAGTATTGAAATTGGGCCTGGTTAGAAGGATAGGTGACGGACAATCTACACACATATGGGTAGATGACTGGATCCCAAGAGAGTCCATGATAGAACCTAGTACAATTAAAACCTGTACCAGTTATGGTAGCCGAGCTGATCGATCCAGTGAACAGAGCGTGGAGGAAAAAGGTGTTAAATGAGCATATGATAAAGCTCGATGCAGACAATGTTTGACGCATTCCTTTGGCCACTACAATAGACTATTGGGCATGGAGTCACGAGAAATCCGGGATTTTTTTCTGTGCGCTCAAATGTACATAATGTTCATACATACAAAGAAGAGAAGGGAAGCGTGGCTAGATGGATAGTCACGGAACTCATATATGGCCAAATAGGGAAAAATCCTGGACAAGTATATGGAGATATTAAGGGGTTGTTTGGTTTGAGACTAAATTTGCCTAAGGTTGTCACACCTAAAATTAGGCAAGTTTGATCAAATTAGGTGTGTGTTTGGTTCAAGTCACATCTTAGGCAAGCCACACTAAGGTATCACATCACATACACTCAAAAAATGTGCCAAAAAATTTTTAGACTTGCCAACTTGTGATTCTGATTTTGAAGAACCAACCGTAGACAAGTTGGTCAATATTATATCACAAAGCATGGCACTCCTAAGTCTAAAACTAAACAGCCCCTAAATACCAGCGAAGCTCAAAGTTTTTTGTGTGGCGTCTGGCTAGACGAAGCTTGACGACGGCGGATGTGATCCACCATAAGAACATGGTTGATGACAGTACGTGAATGATTTGTGGATGGAGTCAGGCCAAACGGGGACATTCGTTGCTAGATTGCCATCTGGCTCGGTAGTTATGCGAAAATGATGTGATGTGGTGTGGCAGTTTGATTTCTCCTATAATATATGTATTTTTTTTTGCAGGTGAAAGGAAGATTTTGGGGCTGTTTGGATTGTGAATATATTTGTCAGATATTGCCACATTATTATTGTCACATTTGTCTAATTTGAGTTGCTCAAATTGTGAGTCACTTTGGCTTGCCTAAGGGAATCTTGCCATATTTTTTGTGTCTATGACATGTGGGGTTCACTTCGCATAAAAAATTCTTGCCTTAGATATGGCTAGAATCAAACAACCACCTAACTTGGTTAAACTTGCCTAAGGTAAGGTGATAAAGTGTGGCAAGATGTGGCTAGAAACCAAACATGCCCTTTATTTCATCAATCAGGACATAAGTCATTCTTACAAATATCAGGGACGTCTCCTGGTCCCGAACCCAACCACACCACAGTGTGACCTTCTGTCCATCCAAAGGAGGCCAGATAATGACTTGCACGATTTTGTTCCCTAAGAATATGAGATAGCTCAAACATCCTCCCTTCCCTCAAAAGCCTTTGAATTTGATCAACCAACCTTGTATAACGAGACCGGCCCCGTCTGGGCCATTAATCATGTTAAGAGCAACAAGGCAGTCAGTCTCTACTTCTATCGGCATCTTCGTCCATTGCAGGGCGAGGTTCATGCCATGATATAATATATGTATGTGACATGTAAGAGTAAGAATATCATTGGTGTATTCTTTTTTCGCGGAACATCATTGTTGTATTTTTCTTGTAGAGTATATTTCTCATGTGTCTTTTCGCTATAGATGGCATGTCGTATGTCAAAGTTAGTCAAACTCTCGCTTTCTGGAGACTTAATAGTCGAATACATCGTATGTTTTGACAATGAGGGAGTGGATTCGTTGTCCAAAGTGGCATCGTGATGTTTGTCGTTGTCACTGATGGACACGTACGAGCGAAGGCATTCAAAACGGAGGTGCTACTGCGAGAGTTTTACTAGTGAGACGATACAGTCTGCGGATATTTGATTATCGGAAATGTTAACGCCCATACGTGTGAGCGTTGACTATCTCGTTCACACGCATCCATCACCGTTCAGTGCTATATGCACGAATCTTGGCACAATCTGGCTGATTTTCTGTGCAACGTAGGATAAAGCGTGTGTGTGGTGTGTGACATAGTTCGCCCACACATCCGTTTTACCACACGGAGGGGTCGATGTGTGGGCGTTTAGCAGTTTACCCACACACCAGTTTTCAGTCACGCACAAGGGCTGGTGTGTGGGCGTTTGCCATCTCGCCCACACGTCCGCCTCCTCTCCCACAACCAAGCTGCCAGTTGCCATGCGTTTTGCAGTATACATGACAACTGCCTTAGTGTGATTGCAAGCAGATGGCAACTCTCTTTTTTTTACCCGAACATGTCAGTTGCCATATGTTTTGCATGGTACATGGCAAACTGCCCTAGCGTGCACGTAAGCAGATGGCAACTCTTTTTTTTACATGGCAACCGTCCTAACGTGTGAAAGAACATGCGATGCCCCCATGTTTGGTTTTGGTAATTGATGACAATCTCTATGGACTAATGGTTGCCTTGAGTTATATTTGAAGGTTTTGTCCATAGGCTTTTCTTGAAGTACATGTGTTGGTTTCAAGGAGTTTATGAGTTGACCAAGGTGCTATTAAGGAATTATCCAAAGATTGATCATGTGAGTGTTGAGCTTATTGCAAGCATGTCTTGAAGAAGAAGATTATGTGATCATTCATGTTTTCCTTCAAGACATCATCCAAATGAAGAGAGTTGGAAAGATTCAAGGTTGATCTAGCCTAAGTACAGAGAGTGATTCAAGTTGATCAACACACAAAGCGCACAAGTTGTACCGAGAGGGACCAAGTGTTCCCATGGTATGGTAAGCATTGTTCATTACGCTTTGTGTACTAACCCATGGTCTACGTGAGAGTTCTTTGTGGGGTTAGGTATGTTTCCATGGTCTTGCGTCAAGAGGAAGATCTCATACAACCCATGAAGGATGACATCAAGTGGTGATCGTCATCAAGTTTGCTGTGTGCAAGTTCAAGTGGAGCAACACGAAGAGTGGCTCACCCATAATGGACTATGGGGGAGCAATCAAGTTTGAATCTTGCCATCCATTGTGGTGTCAATGGACTTGTGAAGATGTGCCGAAGAGTCGCTCACCCATAGTGGACTATGGGGGAGCAATCATCTAGTCTTTATCGATCCAACGCAATCAAGAAAGGTGGTCCAATTTGAGGGAGTCAAGATCGTCTTCATCTAGCTCAACTGGACCATGTGCAAGGCAAAGGTTTGCCCTTGATAGGTTTTCTATTTTACCGGTCTCGTGGTGGTAGTTGGGAGACCGGTTTATAGGATCGTTTGCCGTACTATCAAGGGGGGCTCTCAAGTTGGTAGCTTGATCGTATCGTTAGTAGAGAGCTCAAACTATTGCATCCTTGCATCATGTTTCTTTGTTCTTGTTTGGTTCTCTTTATGAGTCTTAGAGCTTATGGTCATCTTGATGACAAGCTTGAGTTCATCGAAAACGGAGTTCGCATGCGTCTTCTATGATGTTTTCGGTGTT